GGCTGTGATCATGTCACCCGAGAACGACGTCATGCTGATCTGCGTCGACCCGAGCGGCGCGGTCTGCTGCGCCTGGAAGTAGTATGCCGTGCCGCCAAAGAGCGGGCAGGTCGGGCCATTGACCGACATGCTGGCGACGCCGTTGACCGTGTTGGTCGGCTGGACCGCCAGCCACCACTGAGAACTGCCGACCTTGGCGCAGATCTTGACGCCGCCTTGGACGGGGCAATCGACGAAGCTCCACTGGACCTTCCAGCGACCCGTCGTATGGCCCGTGGTCGCCTGGAACACGGGCAGGGCCATGTCGAGGTCACCGTTCTCGCAGCCGGGGCAGTGGTCCGTGATCTGCGCGACGGCCACCGCATTTTTGGTGCAGCCAGCGTCGACACACTGGATCTGGACGCAGCGGCCGCAGTGCTTCCCGAGCGCCCACTGCACCGTGTTGATCGCGACGTGGTAGCCGCTCGTGGACATGGGCAGCCAGTCCATGAGGTTGCAGTTGCCGTCGCCCGGCGGCGACCCTTCGGGGCCACCGTACGTCGTGGCAATGCCCGTGCTGCTCTGGCCAAGCACGGCGACCGCGAGCGCCATGAGAACGAGCGCGATGACGTTCTGCGCCATGTTGGATGGTCGGCAAAATGGAAAGTGGGGCGTCTGCGATGCGCCAGTGGCGTGTGCACCACGTGGTCTTGCGGCAGTCGGCGCCTCGGCCAAGTGATGTTCGATCGCTCCATCTCGCCGCAAAAACGACCAACCACAAGCGGTCTCAAATAATACCAAACTTAACTCGCAAATCAACTTAATCAACAGTCACAACCAATGCAGGACGGCGTGCAAACGCGTCGTTAACGAGGGCATGCCCACCGAATGATAGGCTGGAAAATCACGATCGAGCAACGCACGCACCCAAGGCCAGCGCCTGCGTGTCCCACACAACGAGCCGATATATTGGATAAAGTATGCCACTGCTTATCACCGCACGCGCAGCCATCGCAGGTGGCATTGGCGAAGACACTGCCGATCGCGGAAGGCTCGGGTACAGTACTCGCAGCAGCCCGTCTCTGCCTCCAAGGGAGGAGGCGCATCGAACCCAGCGAAGCTATCGTTCCTGCTGAATTCATGTCGATCTAGTCTACACCTGCAAATCCTTCCCGGTTACGAAACCAGCAGGAGATAAAGTCAATGTTGGATTGTGCTGAACAGCCAACAATCTGGAGGTGGCGCCTCGAGCTCCGCGCGTAGCACGAACGCATTTCCAAAGCGACGGAATTAGAGGACTATTATATGAAAGCAAGCGCTTGAGCGGACCAGCTGTAGAGCCAGATGAAGCAATGACAGGTTGTCCCAAGGTTGCCCTTTAGAGACGACTGCATTCTTCTGGATATAAATGCACTCGAAGCTCCTAGTTCCACCACCGAAACCAGCGCCGCCAGCGCTTTCTCGTCTTCTCGGCCACTTTGGCGGCGGCCGCGTCGACGACCGCTTGGTGCTCGAGCTCCTTGAGGCGAACCTCCAAGAGATGGCGAAGCTTGGCCCGTGCGCCTACAATGTCTCTCGCTTGAGGTTGAGATTCCGCTGCGAATCTCAACTACGTTTGCTTCGAAACGCGCATTGGAGCTTGACGGCGCTCGCTTCGACCTTGCGCTTGTACGCTTCGTCTCTGGCCCGCGCATGCAGCCGCTTGCGCTCGTCGATAATGGCTTGGCGCTCGGTCGCTTCGGCGAACGGCTACCGTCGCCGCATGTCGCATGGTGTTTGTATCAAGTTGATACCTCGGGGGCAGTCGCCTGTTGCGCTTTCGACACTTGATCCACGTAGTGCCACGTGTCCGAGGCAAAGTCATACTCGTGCACAAAGCGGCGCGAGAGCTTCTGCACGGGCACCGTTTCGATGACGCCGGTGCCGTCATAGACGACTTCGACGGTCCCAAACTTGTTGTAGGGCACACTCGTGACGATGGCACTCGAAATCACGTCCGCGTCGCATCCTGCATAACAACATATAACGCTTGTTGCCATACTTGGATGCATACGAGGCAGCCGCTTGATGTAAAGCCCGTCGGTGGGAGCCAATGTCGTGGCACCCTTGCGCAGATTGGTAAAGGGCTGCAGCTGCGAGAGTTGGCGCGGCACGAACCGCTTCAGGGACCCGTCCGAGGCGAACGCCGCGCACTTGTCGTCCTGACGGCACTGGGATTTGAGCTCGTCGAGCGACTTGGTGGCGTCCGTCGCGAAGTTGCCGGCGGCAAAGTCCCGTCCTTGGTAAAAGTCAAACCAAATGGCTATACACACAATAATGTCAAACGACAGGACACCGAGCAGACTTGAACCCGCGCGCCGGGCAAGGACCATCGCCACCATGACTTGCTGTCCGAGGACGCACCACGAGGGCAGTTGCACGGCCTTTCTGTACAAATACGCCTCGTAGACGCACTGAATCGTCGCGGCCGCGGCGTGCCGGCGTGCAGTGAGGATCTGGAACTTGGCGTACGCGCGGTGGCAGCGGAACATCGAGGCGATGCGCCGCGCCGAGAAGTACTCCAAGTCGAAGCGCAGGATCGCCTTGTACCGCACTTCGTCGGCTTCCATGACGAGCCGCTCGGCGCGATGGAGCGCTTGCAGTTGAACTAGCGTGCGTGCATGACAATAATGTGTGCAAGCGAATTTGACGCATACAAGGGGTGTAGTCGTCGATGGGCTCGATGTTCTCGGGGGGGACCCACAGCTTTGCGTGGTTCAAAACGACGGGCTTCCCTACGCCATAAAAAACACCTTGAGCAACTAACTTTTCACTGCTTTCATCGTTGGCAACCGGACATTCGGGGTTGCGTCCGGGGGCCCATCTTGGAGACGGATATGTGCGTCACGAGGCGCGTCCGCTCCGAGAGCTGCGCCTGGAGATCGTCCTGTGGCACACGGTTTGAGATCGAGAGAGACTTTAGTGCTGCTACCCGCTGGCAACTCGCGCGGTTGGCGTCGATTTCGGCTTGGGGCGGCAGCACCTTCATGCGCTCGTAGTAGACTCGGTACTGTCCGAGCACGACTCTTAGCTGCTCGACGAACTGCGCTCGCTGCTGTGCCTGCGGCGACTAGCAGCACGCTGGGTGGGATCGAGAACCTCCTCTTCCGCGTACCTTGGCGTCGAAATAAGCAATGAGCCATCGGATCGGATCGTCCGACTGAGCTTTCTACCATAGCCGTATTCGAGACGGCTTCGGCGAATAGATATATGTACCCGCAGCTCGACAATAGCTTGCAGACACTCGGGCACAAAGCTCTACGACCGCGTTCGCAACAATGTACTCGCAGAGTTGACGACCTCGAAAATGGCGCGGGTATTGCCCGACTCGAGGGATGGAAATGCGCCGATGGTAGGTGGAGGTGCAATCGTGTCGAGGATGTCCATGTGCGGGCACCAATGGTCCTGCAGCCAGCGCGGCTCCGGGGCGAAGAAGGCTCTGTCTGCGTCCGTCAAGATCGAGTCGGTCACGAGCAAGGTCGCCTCGAGGTCCAAGCACGTGCGGAGCGCCTGCAGTCGTCGTGCTCGGAGTCGCTGATCCAAGTTGTCCGAGGTGCAACTTGATTGATGATCGTCGTACCGAGAGATCGTTGCGCATGCGTCCGAGGCTGATTTGCTTCTTGTGCAGCTCCCGCGACAGCGTCACTTCGTCGGGCTCATCGATTAGCATCGCCTGACCGCGATTTGCCTGCCGTGCCACTTGTAGAGAGCGACGTACTGCTAAACGAAGGTACTCGGCCATGTAGTTGAACGGGTCATGAGGTCGCGCCATGATCACCTCTTGGATGCCATCCGACAAGAACTGCAGCAGCCCCTACAACAACGTAGAAGTGTAGCCTCGCAATGGCGTCTTGTACTTGGACGGGCGCTTTCCGAAGCGCCTTGATCTGCGCTGCAAGGTCCGCTCGCCACGTCGGTGGAAGGCCCATGCGCACCGTTACACTGCGGCCTCCAATCTAACAGCACGTCCTTGATGCTTTTTGTTATAACTCTAGTAGTAGACATGATGTACTGCATATCGAAGCTAGTGATGCTGACCAAGAGGCTTTGACACGTTGCGACGAGAAGCTGCGATTGCGCAGTGTACTACATCGCTACTGAAGACGCGGCGAAGAAACAGCTAGAACGGTGGGTCGTGCCGCCGTTTCAGATCCCGTTTCGCGCGCCAAGTGGCTCGTCCATGGCGTACTATGTAGCTCAGCGGCCGCAGTCGGCGCGGCCTCACGTGCCGACGCGGCCCTTGCCCAAGGCGGCGAGCGGGCACATGACGCTCGCGACGTTTCGGTTTGCGCCCGACTCGGACGACCTCGAGCGCGCGCCGGAGCTGATCAACGTCCAAAGCAATATTCATACGCTGCTGAGTCTCATGGCCGACGACTCCAACATGGGCCTGCACCAGCCGACGCGCGTATTGCAGGCTTCTCGCTTCCGCACGCATCTGCCGAGCACGGTGCTCGTTGGGCCGCACTGCGATCTGTACGCGTGGTATATTACGTCCAAGGACGGCCACGTCGTTCGGAAACACAAGTCCAACTGCAACTGGAAGAGTGTGCTCCAAGCATTCTGCGGACACATGAACAAAGGGTTCTCGCCACTGAGCCACCGAGGCGCGCGGACAGCATGCCGCGACCATTGGCCCGTCGCAGTGGCCAAGTTTGTCGACGGGCGCATGCGGCTCCTCTCGGGCGCAGCGCTCGTCGCGCTCGTGAAAGGACTAGAGGCGAGCGCGCCGGGCGACACGGACTTTGCGACGCTTCCGTTTTGTTTGACGCAGTTTGTGCCACCGGCCAAGCGCGTGCGCTACCTCAGCGTCTACACCGTGGTAGCTGTATTCAATTCTCTCTCTGGCACTTGAGGCTCTTGTAGGTCGAGGGCGCAGGCGACTGCCACGTCGTTGTCGCCGAGTTACCTCCGTTCTACCGAGAGCAAGTGCACAGCGACTTGCCCGTGACGGATGGCAATATCAACACGGACCCGATTCAAGTCGTCCAACACGGTGCGTCGCGTCGTCGTCTCCTCTTTCCTGCCGCATGCAACGAGGTAGAAAGCAGTATGCTGCTCGGCGAGGCAATCCAGAAGGAGACGACGCTCTTGGCCCGTCACATCAACCGCCGCAACGCCGCCACGGGCACGCCGGTCGTGCACCAGCTCATTCTCGAGTACATGGTTCACGCCAAGGACGGCGAGGTCTACCTGACATCGATCCTCGGTGTGAGCTGGCAAAACGGCGAGCAAGTACATCCATTGTGAGTTCGTCTACGGGCTTATCGATTTGATAGGTGCAATTGGTGGACGCTGTCACAAACAACGTGGAGCTCGACCCGAGTGGACCCGCGCCTCCAACGGCGGCGGTCGCGCAGCAGATTTTCAAGTTTTCAAGAAGCTTGAAAGGCTCCCAAGCGCGGTGCGAGGTGGCGGAACGGCAGGTCTTGCACTACATGAGCGAAGCCGAGAAGGCAAAAGCGCAGGTGTCTGTACTCCACGACCACTTGCAGCGCACGTCCGACCAGCTGCAAGTGGCGTGCGAGGCGACGCCGTACAAGATGCGCATCGAAGCGCTCGAGACGGCGCTTCGCAAAGCAAATCAGCGCGTCGAGACGCTCGAAGAGCAGCTACAAGCCGAGCGGCGAACGCGGGTCGAGGGCGCGACCCTCCTCACAACCGAGGTACTTCAATTGTGTCACGTTGATCGTCCGATTAAAGGTAAAATAGCGCAACACGTTTTGTGTGGCGCTGCAGCAAGCGCAAGCCAAGATCGAGACGCTCACAAAAGACCTCGAGCTGGCGACGTCGACCGAGGTCAGTGCTAGTCGGTTGCTGAGCGCAGAAACCACGGCCCATGCGCGGACCCAGCAGCTGCTAGCAGGTCTGGAAGCCCTTCTCGCACAGCAAAAAGACATCCACGCCACTCACGTCGCCAAGATTCGAACGCTCGAAGACGACTTGACAAAGACGACCGAAAACCGCGACCACCTCCAGCGCCTCGTACCCTACGCCAATGTACGCCACCTCAAAGTATCAACTTGATACCATTGTGACTGGATTAGATCAAGAAGACGGCGTATTGCAAGCGACTTCACTTGCACGATCTGTACTTGGGCTGGCCCGACTGGCAGCTGCAAGTCGAGTGCCTCGACCGCGTCGTCTCGATGCACGTGCTCACGCTGCAAAAGACCTTTGACCACTTTCAGCCGATGAAGCTGCCGGTTCTTATCGAGTCGACGTCAATTACGCGCACGTACCCGCTGATCCATCACCGGCTCAACTTTGCCCAGCTCTGCGAGTGCATGCGTCTCTGTGGCGTCCTCACGACCCGGTACCAATGGCGCTCTCAACGTCAATCAACGACGATTTAGGTTCACGACGGCGATGCTTGAAACAGTGTTTCTCAAGTGCACGGAAAAGTCGTTTGCAAAACAGACAAAGGGGCCCACCACGGCTGGCGTCGGGCGACCCCGGGGCATGTCGTTCATGGAGTTCATCGAGTGCATCGTCCGCGTCGCGATGCTCAAATGCAAGGCCTCTCACGTGGCCGCCGAGGCGGTTCAAAGCTTCATGGACACGCACTTGCTGCCCGCCGAGCAAAAGTGGTGACGAGCTCCATCCTTCGAGTTCAAGAGTCGAGCTCGCCGTGTCGATGCGACGCGCTTGAAAGCGATTTGAACGCGTTTAACGATTGCAAGTATCAACATCAAGTAAGTCTTGAAGCATCGCTGCGCTGGGTGCGCGCTACAGCTATTGGGCACTCACCAAGCTGGTCACTCCGATTCGGCGTTTCAAAAGAGCATTAAAGCATTAAAAAACAAAAGACTTTAGCGAATATTGCATACCCCGGGGCACAATGATTGTGTCCGCCAGTGCCCCGGTGTACTACTGCCATGGAAGGTCCTTTTTTGCAGCATGCCGCCCGTGAAGGTAGCGATCGTCCAGTTCGAGCCCGTGCTGGGCGACGTGCCCCGCAACATGGCCCACGTCTCGGCGATGATCGCCAAGCTCTCGGTCTCTGACAGCATCGACATTCTCCAGCTCTGCGAGGTGCGCTCTCGGTGGCAGTCGTCAGCTCACGTCCGTGCGAGCTAGATGCCGTTTACGGGCTACTGCTTCAAGGACCGCGCCGAGATTGCGCCGTTCGCCGAGCG